AACTTTTCGGACCTCGTTCCCTGCTCTGTCTCCTGCAGTTGGTAGGGGGAGGCCAACTGGCAGGACTGTGCACCTCACCAACAGTGAAGAGGAAAATAAGCCAGTAGAATTCTCTGGCTTGGATTATTTTTGTTTTTGGTACAAGCCAGTTAAAAGTTATTTTGAAGTGTGTTCTAGTGGGACCAGTGAGCTTTGGGGAGAGGAGCTGCCACTCAGCTCTGATTACAGCTATCGGTATAATTTTTGTATGACAATACATCTGTAAAGTGGGACGGACAGGAGGGTGGGGGAAGGGAAAGGATGATCAGAAACAGTACCCCTTGGGACCAGTCGCTTTTCCAGCCCCCTTTATGTGAGGGCTGGAAACAAGGTCCTGAGGGAGCAGCCTATCACCTGGGCAATTGCATCCTCCTCCTAGGTTACATGGGGGGAAGTGGGATCTTTGGCTCCATCTATATCTTCAGTCTTTTGGCCGCTGGCTATTTCTGCTATGCTCTGTGGGGCTGGCTGGAAGCTTGTGGACTAGACATCTTCATCTGGAACATGCTGCTGGTCATGGCCTGCTTGCTTCAGCTGGCTCATCTGATTTACCGGCTCCGCAAAGACACCTTCTTGGAAGAGTTTGACCTTCTCTACAAGACCCTCTGCCAGCCCTTGCAGGTGCCCTTTGAGGTCTACAAAGAGATTGTGAAATGCTGTGAAGAGCAAGTCCTGTCACTATCCAGAGACCAGAATTACGCTGTGGAGGGCAAAACACCCATCAACCGCCTGTCTCTGCTGCTCTCTGGCAGGTAGGCTGTACCCTTTCCTGACAAAACATTTCCCATCCCTGGAATGTTGAGCCACCTTAATGTTTAGTGATGATTTTGTAGAATTGAGTTAGCAACAATTAATCTGCCTAGCTAGCTTGGCTGGGGGCATAAGGGGAAGATTTTCATCTTTTTTTCATGGCATTTTTAAAGCAATCTTAGTGCTGATGGGGTGGGATGATTTATAGCGCTGGAACCTGAAGGCTGTTATGGATAGAACAGGTACAGTCCAGGCAGCAGTAGTGAAGCTTCTCCCGTTCCAACTTGCTGGAGGATGGCAGGGAGGTCTTTTTGAGCCGGTGGTTCCTCGAGTACCACTTAACATGGTAATTTGTGTAATGTGGATGTCTGTCTGCTAGGAACTGCTCTGCAATCCACAGTTGGACTCATCCCGAAAAGCTTAGAAGTTTTGAAGTGAGTGGTTCCATCTCTCACTACCGTTGCTCACCCAGTAGTCCATAACTTTTGTAAGAGAAAAGTTATGTAAGAGAAAGATTCTTCGATGTATCCTACTTCATCTGGCAGCCCTCCGGGCCTGATCCATCAATTCTGCTTCATTCTGTTGGTCACCAAGAAGGGTTCCATGGGCCACAAGACATCCGCAGACCATAGTCTAAGAACCACTGCACATAGCTGTTTATTCTTCCATCTACCTGAGTCTTGGATTAAGGAGTGTAGTGCAGTGACTGTATTCATGAGGAAGGGCTTTGTCATGTTTACTTGTCATGCGCAAAGAAGTGGTTTTAGCAGCATATCTAGTTTTCAATTTAAAATGTCAAAATAGAGAAAAGCAAAAGGAGCATGATGGGTGTCTCTACACGGCAGTGGAAGCCAGGGTCTGAGCATGGGCTCAAGCCAACCATTGTGTTGCCGTCCACACTGCAAGCCTATGTCTACACTGGTGGCTTCTTGCGCAAATACATCTTGCACAAGGGTTCTTGGGCAACAACTCTTGCGCAAGAAAATGTCCACACTGCCATGTGCGAGCTGTGCTTTTGTGCAAGAGCATCCATGGCAGTGTGGACGCTCTCTTGCGCGTGACAGCTCTGATGGCCATTTTAGCCGTAGGGCTTTCTTGCACAAGAAACCCCTGCCCAGCGTCCACACTGGCCTCTTCCGCAAGAGCCTCAGCGCAAGAGAGCTTACACCTGTTAGAAAAGAGCATAGCTCTTGTGCAAGAAGCCCTCTCTTACCCCGCCGTACTGTAAATCTTCTTGCACAAGAGTGGGTGGGCCGTGCAGACGCTGCAGATACTTGCGCAAGAACAGCTGTTCTTGCTCAAGAACCCACCAGTGTAGACATAGCCCAAATGTGGTAACCGTAAGACTCAGATGCATTGCTGGCGGGTCCAAGCCTGCGTTAAGCTGGAATGCAGGATCCAAGCCCTATTGCTTTCCTGTGTGCACGCAGGCCTAGATTGACGCGGGTCCTGGCAGTCCTCTGGATTTATCCCAAAGTTCCTGGCAGCAGAGGAGAAGTGCTGCAAACAGCCAGGGTAATGGCCAGAAGTCTCATTACTGCCTGGCTGAGAATGTTCCCACTTTCTGCTCCAGCTCCTCCTCACTGTTTTGTAGAGTTGGCCCAGAGCAGAGAGCAAAGCTGACAAGCAGGAGGCGGTTTTGAGGGTTATCCCTTTCCCAGCCATATTGAACCAGGAGCTCTGCCACTCTTCTCTTCCTGCAGGTGGGCCAACAGAATTGCCGGGCCCCAGGGCTAGGTAGGGGGAGGGGCAACTCCGTGCTCCCAGAAGGGCTGGGGCTTTGGGTGGAAGGGGCAGAGCAGGGCTAGTCTCCCCACACCAGAAATGTTCCTGCAAATATTTTTCCTTCTTGCTGGTTCTTGAGGTTCGGCGAGAACAGGGATACGGGTCCCCTAGGGTGCTGGAGCACAGTGCACCCCAAGCCCTGGGCACACACTTCACCACTGTGCAGCTGGCAATCACCAGGCTGGGGTGTTGTGTGTGTGTGTGTGTGTGTGTGTGTGTTTTCTCTGATACCTTCATTTTACGTCACCCTTGGAAACAGACAAAAATGAATAAAAAACCAACCAACCAAGTGCACGTGGCACCTTCACTGCACATCTTATTTTAAACAAGAAGAACGGCAACGTTTCTTTGTAATTGTTTGGTAGCCCTGGAGACTGATGTGCTAATTATCCTCAGAGCAGGTGCACATGGGCATTGCCCTACCAATGTGACTCAGCCTAAAGGTGGGGAGCCCAACTCTAAGGTGAGATGGTAACTCCAACTGTCCATCATTCTAGCGAGACAGCGCTCACAGGAGCTCATTGTGCAATGTACGTACTTGTGTGCTCCCTACTGGCATTAGTAGCGCCACCACGGGTAGGAAGCAGGCCAGTAGAGTTTTCCCACAGTGCACCATGTTCCTAGGGCTAGAGTGTGGACATGTGGGAGGCAGGGCTGGTCCTAACCAATTGGCTGCCCCGGGCCAAGCAAAAAAAACCCAAAAAAACTGCTGGGGAAAATTTGTCGAGGGGGAAGAAAAAAAGGGTTGGGTTGAAATGCAGTCACGGTCGCCCCCCCACTAAGACCGGCTCTGTCGGTGGCTCCTTCAAAATTGCGGCCCCAGATGAGGCAGGGCTGGTCCTAACCAATTGGCTGCCCCGGGCCAAGCAAAAAAAACCCAAAAAAACTGCTGGGGAAAATTTGTCGAGGGGGAAGAAAAAAAGGGTTGGGTTGAAATGCAGTCACGGTCGCCCCCCCACTAAGACCGGCTCTGTCGGTGGCTCCTTCAAAATTGCGGCCCCAGATGACCGCCTGGCTCGCCTGCTCCTAAGACTGGTTCTGGTGGGAGGCACTAAGCGTTTTGGAACCTGTTTACTTTGACAGAGGACTGTGTACTGCAGTACGGACACCAGAGCTTTAAGTTTGAACATGGGTCAGAAAACCTTGAGCCTAGGGTTCCCTGACAGGGGTTGGCCTTCTTGAGTCCCACTCACTATAGGCTTACACTGCTGTGTAGCTATATGCTACCTCCCTCTGCCCTCAACTCTGCACCAACGCAAAATGGAACTGAGCAAGAGAAAGGAAAGAATCAACAGCCTGGCATCCCAGCTTTCAGTAATTCACCAGATTGGTTCCCCGACTTCTGCCCTGCTGCTCTGATGCAGATTTCAGGACTTCCAAAGGCTTCGGGACCAATTTCTTTCTTTCTTTGTTCAACAAACAGCCCATGTACAATCAAACCATTCACAAATCTGTCCATGATTTCTTCCTGATGGATTGGTAGCAGTAACAGATCCGCTACTGGGCCAATGGGACCCACGCCCAGAGACTCTGTTCAATTGGGGAGCCCTAGAAAAATGGATACCTCTGTGCCCCAATCCCACTATCCACTTGGAGTAGGAAGGCCCCCTGGCAGGACTGCAGGTGGATGGGTTAGAGAGGGGCTCCACTTGCCCAGGGACGCACTAAACCCTAATCCATCTCTGACTTTTAGATGTGTAGGGGAAGGGCTGTTCTTTCTTCTCCTCGGCTACGTCTAGACTGGCATGATTTTCCGCCAATGCTTTTAATGGAAAAGCTTTTCCGTTAAAAGCATTTGCGGAAAAGAGCGTCTAGATTGGCATGGATGCTTTTGCGTAAAAGCGTTTTTGCGGAAAAGCATCCATGGCCAATATAGACGCACTTTTGCGCAAAAAAGCCCCGATCGCCATTTTCGCGATCGGGGCTTTTTTGTGCAAAACAAATCTGAGCTGTCTACACTGGCCCTTTTGCACAAAAGGAGTTTTGCCCAAACAGGAGCAGCATAGTTTTTCCGCAAGAAGCACTGATTTCTTACATGAAATCATCAGTGTTCTTGTAGAAATTCAAGCGGTCAGTGTAGACAGCTGGCAAGTTTTTCCACAAAAGCAGAAAAAGTTTTTCTGCTTTTGCAGAAAAACTTGCCAGTCTAGACACAGCCCTCTTGTTTGTCACCTTCCTCCATCTTCCTGGATATAATTTAAGATCATAATGGGTTCACCAGACAATAATTAATATTTAGTACTCTTCACTTTGCTAAGACCTTCCAATTGATGATCTCAAAGCACATCACAAACACTAATTGTCAAAGCTTCCATAAGCAGACAATTGCTCGGCCGATCGAACATACCCAATCTAATCGTTGTGGGCTCAGATGGCCCCTTATGGAGCTGCTTGTTCATCGTCGGATCTACGTAGCAAAATACTAGTGTTCGTACAGCTCATTGTATTTTCATTTGCTTTGTAAACGCTCTTTACAGCCCTCTTCCACTGGGAGGTATGTAATGTCTGCTGCATTTTACACAGGAAACTGAGGCACAGAGTGGTGAGGCCCTAGTTCTTATAGGAGATCTGTGGCAGAGCCATGACTAGAAGTCAGGAATCCTAATTCCCTGGACTTTGCTCAGCCCATGTCTCCTTCTCTCATTTTAACTGCTGAAGGGTTGTGGTTTAAAGGAGGTTTGGATGTGGTAGAAAACATGCTCTCTTTGAATAAGGAAAAAGTCTGTGACTAAGGCCCATATACCTCTCCCAACCCTATGTGCAACCCCTTGCTGTGTAATGTGAAGGGGAGCAAACCCACAGAAAAAACAGTGGGAGAAAGTGGCTAAATGGAGGTACTGCCAAACATCCAGCCCCCTGCCAAATATCTGCATCTAGCAGCCTGCTTCAAAACTGTAGTTAACCTACTTGTATTGTCAGTGGAACGTTAATATGGCCTTACCTTAGAGCGCTCTGTGGCTCCCCCATGGGTCAGAGTGCTGCTAATGGAAGTCAGCTAATTACATCAATGCAATTGCTCACGCCATGCTGCCACGGATGTGCGGGTAGCATGGGGAGGTGAGTCTCAGCCCAGCTGCACATGGTCCACCACAGTGTTGAGGCTGGACCCCTGGATGTCTCTGTTGGCCACGCTAGCTGTGCTAGACCTCACTAGGGTGGAAGAATGGGGGAAAGGCTCCAATGGAGCATTATTGTGCTGCTCTCTGCACACAGTTGTACAGAAAGTGAGTGCAGGGACCTTGACTGTTCCATTGTGTTGCAGACTATTTCAGGGTTCCACGCTAGCAATAGCCTAAAAGCAGCAAGAGGGAAACCTCAAAAGTACAGAGTTCAGATTAGAAAGCTCACGTACCAATTCTCTGACACCTTCCCGCTCAAGAGCTCCCACTACTTTACACACAGGAAAGAACTGAATTGCTCAGTGACTCTGGGAAACAGCAGAATCACTATGACCATTGTATAGATGAGGAAACCGAGGCACAGAGAAAGGAAGTGACTTATTCCAGCACACACAAATTAATGGCGGGGCCAGGAAGAAAACCCATGTTGTCAGACTCCTAGTCCTTTGCCTGAACTGCAAGACCCTGCTTTCTGCCTTTTGTAGGCTTAGACCAGTGCAGCTCACAAGTGTGACCTTGATTTTGTTAAGCAGCCGCAGTGGCAGTCAAGGAGAAGGCTATGCGGAAGGCAGTGAGACTAAAAGATACTGAATGATAGTGGACAGCTAAGTATGAACTTGATGTGTGATATGGCTGCAGCAACAACCAATTTAATTTTGGGTTCCAGACTTAGAGGCATGGTGCCAGAGAGCTCGAGGACATAGGTTGGATGGTAAGTGGACTGGAAAGAGAGGGGAAAATCAATTGGCACAGATAGTTTGTTCTGATGATAGCTGTGGGGTGGCCATACTAACCATCTCCAAGTAACAGAAGAGGAGTAACCCCAGAATAGGAAGAATGGGCCAAGAGTTGTATCTACGAGTGATGTAATGACATTAGGAGAGGGAGAATGTGGGCAGAGTATCCAGAAAGACATACTGACAGTCAGATCTAAGATACTAGCCAGTGAACAGTTTCCCAAGAGAAGGGATAAAAGCATCATTAACTGGACATTTTGTAACTTGACTAGAGAAGACACCAGGGAACACTCCTGCACCTACAGAGGGGGTGGAGTATCTGAAGCTTGAGCAGATTCTGTACCCACCAGTCCTTTTCTGTTCTCTGTCTAGGGTCAGAGTGAGCCAGGATGGACAGTTTCTGCACTATGTCTTCCCCTACCAGTTCCTTGACTCCCCGGAGTGGGAGTCACTGCGACCTTCCGAGGAGGGAACGTTCCAGGTAACTCGGAGCTACCACCTGGTAGCTCTGCAACTGTTCAGACCTGGGCTTTAGTGCTTTCGACGCGTGCTGCGGAAAGGGGAAGGTGGAAGGGAGAAGAAAGGCCAGAGAAGCGTTGTCAATCCTCAGGCTTTGAGCTCTCAGCTACTCATGCAGCTAGGCCAGGAAGGCATTCCTCCTCCACCCCCATCATGTTAGAGTATAGCATCGTGTGCATGATCAGATGCATTGTCATATGTCTGCCTTTGAACCATCCAGCATTGCCCGTGGCTGACCACAGGATACCAGAGGTGAAGGCCCATTGCTCTGGTTCTGATTCAACAGGCACAGGAAGACAGTGTGTTACATTAGGTCAGGGCTGGGCAGATACCAGCCCTCAGGCCAGATCCGGTCTGCCAGGGTAAGCCCTGGCCCCCACACCACTGTGTTTACCTGCGCCTCCACTAGCACAGGGATCACAACTCCCATTGGCCGTGCATCACCGTTCCCGGCCAGTGGGAGCTGCAATCGCCCATACTTGTGGAGGTGCAGGTAAATTTAGTGGCGGTAGCCCTCCAGGGACTAACCCTGGTGAACCACTGCCTTTTTTCCCCCACCCCTTGATTAGATGGCTCACTGGTCTGCTTCCAATATATATAGGCTAAGTCTACGCTGCATTGCTATGTCAGGATATCGGAGTATCCTGACATAGCTATCCCGTGTCTTCACAGCAAGCCCATTATTTCAGGCTTGATATTCTGATGTCCCTGGAGGCCTCATTCCACAAGGAGTAAGGGATGTTTCGGAATAGCGCTTCATTTCAAAATTTGGCGCTGGGTAGACAGTGCCAAATGACAACATTAGCTATTTTGAAATAGCATAGAAATAAGATACGCAATTTGTGTTGCTCAAACTGTGTCTCTTATTTTGAGCTACAGTGCTGAGTAGATGCCCCCATAGTGATTTTTAATACAAGCATTAATGTGTTGCACAATGAGCCATTAGAGGTGGAACTTCTCAAGAACTGTAGAACTATGTGCTGCTGCTGCTATGGGGAAAGGTGACCATGACTATAAAGGCTCAGATATCTGATTCTCCCATAGATGGTGATGATGATTCTCAGGCGGGGAAGCTGGGAGAGAGAAAGCGGATAATTCACATCCAAATCTAGCTACTGTACTTTCAAATTGCAAACAATCCTCCTTGAGACATTGGGGGTTCTGAGACTAAATCACTCATGGTTATTTGCAGCAATTAAACCTGTTGATTTTTGTTTTGATCTGTTTATCCTGTGATCACTACAGAATTGATTCCCACCCATTCTGCAGGCAGGTTATTAAATGGATGGACAGATCCATCTCTGCAAGCTGTGGTAGGCTGATGCCAGTCAGTAGTTGAATGACCAGAACTTAGATATGCCTAAAGGATATGTCAGAAGTGATTTTACTAAGCCTCTGGGAGAGTACTCAAGGTCAGCAGAGTAACACCTTTCCATGGAGAGGGCCAAATTCAGACTTGCTGTAAATGAGAGCAGCTGGCTGCTGAAGCCAGCTTCCTGCT